AAAATTAGATTATAAACAAAAATTTAAAATTTTAGCAGCCAAATTTGCCTGCTAAAATCTACAGTTTAAGGGATATTTTAGAGCTTGACCAGAAGCGATTACAGTTTCTTCAATTATTTCCCATAGATCTTTGGTATCTTCTGTATTCTCAATATTATAAGATTGTATAGATATAGATTGTAAGGCTTCTTGTTCAGTTAATAGGTCTTCTTCTATAGATAGAGTATTAGATACAGATTGTTGATTATTTTGATCAAAATCTAAATTAGCCCAAGGATTATAGTAAATATCTAATTCTTGCTTCATATTAACTATTATAAATATTATATAAATATGTGGTATATTAAAAGTAATAAGATATATAGTATGTATATAGTAAAATAAAAATAGTATATAGTAGTAATAAAAAAGATTAAAATGTTAAAATTTAAGAGAAAAAATGCTATCACTTCGATTTACAAATTCCAATGGCAGTTTCTTCTTATTATAAGCTTAATACAAAAGTACATAATTATTCACTGAATATGCCCTCAAAATTTAACTTGATTGGGTCAAAATTGATCAACTTCAATTAGTACCAATCATTTTTTTCTTTGCAGATATTTTAAGAGTAAAAATGTCATCACTTTGTTTTACGAATTCCAGTAGCAATTTCGCTTTATGATAAGCTTAGTAAAAAAGTTGCGCAAGGTCTTCAAGAGTATGTATGTAAAATTTCAGCGCAATAAGAGCAATATTGGTGACTCACTTAATACCAAACGTTTCCAGAATTTAATAATTTACTTCACAAGATATTACATGTAGAGTACTATATCTCACAGTCACCACCAATTTGTTATTCTATATCTACTTCTTTAAAGATAGTAGGTAACTAGAGTGACTGTAGTCAGTGAATACTTTGTATAACATCCTGAGTTACTATATAGTGTTTTTACAAAACTTAACAAAGAAGATTTAAGACAATTTGCAATTATGAAAGAGGCAACAATTAAAAGTATATGAAGATACTAATAATTGTTTAGGATTTTATATCTAAAAGGTATTTTATTATTGAAAATGTATGTAGACTTTGACCAATGTTATTGGTGCTAGCTGTGATAAAATTAATAGTTTCTTCAGATAATTTTTGAGCTTAATTATAATTTCATTTGCAACTGGATGCTGGTCTGGAACAGAAAACGGGTTTCAATCTTTTGCCTGACACTCATTTGCCCGACAATAACTTTCCTGACAACCATTTTCCCAACAATCATCTGCCCGACACTTTCGTCTGCCCGACACTTTATTTGCCTGACACTTTCATCTGCCTGACAAATTTATCTTCCTGACAATAACCTTTCCGATAATCATCTGCCCGACACTTTTATTTGCCCGACACTTTTGTTTGCCCGACACTTTCATCTGCCTGAAAAATTTATCTTCCCGACACTTTCATTTGCCTGACACTTTTGTTTGCACAACACTTTTGTTTGCCTGATACTTTCATTTGCCTGACAAATTTATCTTCCCGATACTTTCATTTGCCTGACACTTTTGATTGCCTGACACTTTCATTTGCCCGACAAATTTATCTTCCCGACACTTTCATTTGCCCAACACTTTCATTTGCCCGACACTTTCGTTTGCCCGACAATTTCATCTGCCCAACAAATTATTTCCCGACACTTTTGTTTGCCCAACACTTACGCTTGCCCGACACTTTCGCTTGCCAACACTTTCGCTTGCCCGACACTTTCGCTTTCCTGACACTTTCCCTTGCCAGACACTTTCGCTTGCCTGAAACTTTCGCTTGCCCGACACTTTCACTTGCTCGACACTTTCACTTGCCCGACACTTTTACTTGCCCGATACTTTCGCTTGCCCGACACTTTCGCTTACCCAACACTTTCGCTTGCCCGACACTTTCACTTGCCTAACACTTTCACTTGCCCGACACTTTTGTCTGCCTGATATTTTCATTTGCCCAATATTTTATCTTTTTGATGCTTTTATCTAAATAAAATAAAACTAATTAGTAAATATTCATGATTATTTTAATTATTAGATTAATTAATTA